AAAAGCCATTTCTAACCACTAGAGGGAGACACAAGTTCAATGTAACCTGAACTGAGAGTTTCAAGCAGTTGAACAAATTTAAAGACAGTTTATTTATTTATTTATTTATTTATTTATTTATTTATTTATTTATTTGTTTGTTTGTTTGTTCACTAAAACTTAAAACTACAAATTAAACAATTCGCTAAAATAAAAAATCACATCACTGAGTATGTTTTGACAACTAATGTTGTCCTCCACAAGGAATTTGAACTAAAAACAATGTTCTACTTCCCAAATTAGAAAGTAACAATTTTATCTAAAAGTAATTGTCTCACAAAAATAGGTCAAACTGTGCACATATGCACATTTAAAAGTGAATATGTGTTGCCAAAACTACTAGCTCTCAAAAGGTTTTAATTGGATGGCTAATCATGTGATTATCAGAACAGATCTAACATTAACGTGATGAAAGTTTCTATTAATTGGTTGCTTAAATGATTTAATGTGGCTTTAATGATTTAATGTTTTATAGAAATGTTCTGAACTTACAAACACTGGGTGGTTTTTAGGGTTTTTTGACCCCAAAATGGATTCAAGTGACTAATTTGTTGAATTAGAGGTACTAAAACTTTAGGTTAAAAAAATACCACCCTTAGCATCAGATAGCTAGCAACAACTCATGTTATTTTAGGAAACCAAACTCCCTGTTGTTTAGTACAAACTAAGGTTATTGACAAGGCCAACAGAGTTAAACAAAAAATATCATCTTAGTCTTTAAGTTGTACATGCTTACCAGTGGTGTCATAGTTCCACTAATCAGCTAGCAGAACTAATTTTTGTACAGCAGATTAGCTTTTTTACTAATTTTAGCAGACCAATTAGCTTCCGCTAAATAGGTTTTGCCAACTTGAAGTCTGCTAACAGCTAACTAACAAACTTACATGAACATGTTTGTGTCACCAGCTCATAGGCCAAGCCTGTGACACAGGCAAGTCCTGAGTGGTCATATTAGCRGTTAGTGTTAGACTCYGCTAATTTTTACTTGTTTAGTGTTRGTTTCTACTTCTTTCTTTACTTGTTTAGTGTTAGTTTCTACTTCTTTCTTTACTTGTTTAGTAGTTTAGCCATGGGTTCAGCATTTGCAAAGCAAACATTTTGGTAGCTGTGCCCACCACTGTTGCTAGTCTTACATCTGAAAAGCAAATATCCAGTCAGTACCAGTTTGGTCAACTAAAGACAGTCAGCCCAACCTATGACCCCAATCCAGCAAACGAGTTATCAAAACAACCCAGCAGTTTTTATAAAATTGAGTCCTAATTTCTTTATTTTCATCCTAAATTTGATGTTTTATTGTTTTTGTTGAGAGGACATGACAGAAATTAAGACCATATTTCGAAAGAACAAACATATACAGGCTAGTACAATTATACCTTTATTTTCAAATAATAATTAAAACACATTCAACAAAACAAACACACAAACACACACGTATACAAACAAAACAGGCATCAGTATGGTGCAGGAGTGGTTTAAAGACTTGCACCTTTATAAAAATCAACTAAAGCAACATGTTTTCACAGCATAGCATGTTAAAAATAAARATAATAAATGTACAATATTTACAACATACACATATTCTTTTGTAAAACATGCTTTAATGGAATGTTTTGTAGCTTAACTTAGAATAAAAAACATAGATACAATTACAAATAAAATAAGTTCTGAAAGTACTGCATATTAAACCAGTGATAGTGCAGTTATATAATACATTAAATAAAATTAAAGCTACATCTTTGCAGTACGCTCTCGTGTCTTCTCTCCTAAATGCTACATATTAAGCAGACCACTGAATCGCTTCTATCGCTGACGTCTCTGCTGCTCAACATCTGACAAAGCAGTTCCTGTGAATTGTTGCTTCACACGCTGGGAGCAACTCCGGCTGGGATTGTAGGCTTTTATTATCCCTCTGATAGTGATCTGTTGTTTGCACATGTCCAGACAAGTGTCAGCCTATTGTTTCATTTCATGACCATCTCTGCGGCGTTGCCACAGGGCCGAGGCCTTGGGCCTCAAAGTCTAATCCTGTCCAGTGTGTCGAAATTCCAGGCACTGACTGAATCATTCCAGTCTCGCGGTCATACTCCCAAATGTTGTCGTAGTCCACTTCCTGGTCATCTGGATCGGTGGGTTCCAGGTACGAATGGCGGTCTGTAAAAGCGAGCAAAGATTCAAAGGCTTTTAGTTTCAAGCTGTGAAAGTTAAACTTTGCCCTGATTTTGTAAACTTGGACAAATTCCCAGAGCTGTTGTCGCAAACTTAAGCTTAGAGTTGAACCYGAAGCGTAACATACCACTGCAGCAACACTCGCATTCTTTTGGTACAACAGGTTTCCTTTCTAACACCGTAGGAAAACAGTCTGACAAATTAACTCACATAGTAACAAGTTTAAGATTTCCTTTGCAATAAAATTCCTGCTCATGTTCTCAGCTCTGTGCTGTCTGTCATAATGGAGGAGTAGATCCTGTCTGCCCTGTTCATTTTTTTACAGTAATTTACTCCCTAGCGTTACTGGCTGCACTAAGCTCCATTTCAACAACACATTTGCACACTTCATGCAACTTGACTTCTGTAACCTTTTTAACGTCTGCCTACCTGCTGACAGCTAAACAATCCAGGAGCATTCAGCGTTAAATTTACAGTTTACTGGAGTGCAAACAATGTTCTCGGTCTTATAGGTCAAATTCAGGAAGGATGACTTGAATAACTCATGCTTGTCAGAAAACATGATGCATTGGTTTTAATAGTATTTATCATTTAACTCATGAGTCTCTACACCAAATGTATTGCATGCATGATCAGACAATAACTTATTGGACACAAGTGAAGAGATTTGTCTGGTTTGTTTTTGTGTGGAGTCAGCTCTTACCAGGTGAATAACCATAAGGCATTTGTGCGGCGTTCCTCACAGAGCTCAACGGGAGAGGGATCTGTCACAGATGTGAAAACAAAGAAAGTCACTTCCGATGTAGGACAACAACAAACATTCTCCTCTTCCCTAAACTATGCGTTTCATCTGTGGCATCTGTTTAAATAGCTCCTTCAGCGCAAGTATATAAACTTACTCCACTACCACAAAGTACACCAGCACTTCCCCTTCACACCACAGCATTCCAGAAACTGGAGCGCCCTGGGAGATGTGTGTGTGTGTGTGTCAGGTGTGTGTATGTTTTTGTGCTCCTCACCTGCTCCCGGACTTGGCTGGGCGCGGGCAGCAGCTTTAGCCTCGACACGGCTTCCGCTCTCTGCTCTGCTTGGTTCTGAGGGGTTTCCAAGTCTGGACTCAAATCCGGACCCCGGGAGTTGTGGTTTTTCTGACAGCGTCTGCCCATCGGAGGGGTTTGAAGTTTAAAGGAGGAGGGTAGGAGCTGGGAGTTCTGATGATGGTGGTGTTTCTTGATTGGCTCGTGGCGGWGCTGGAGGTCTTGATGATAGTGTCCGTGCTGGATTAGTTCGTTCCAGCTCTGCTGCTTAAAAAATTTAAATAAATAACAGAACATGTCAAAACAAGATCTATAAGAGCAGGTAAAACAGGAGTTCAGATGACTAAAACTAAGTCTGTTTGTTTATTCAAAATGTAAAAATAAAAAATGGTCATAAACAAATCAAAAAGAAAAAATAAGTAGGTCCTCTGGATGGGTTCTTCTTTAGTGAAACGTTTCGTCTCTCCTCCAAGAGACTTCTTCAGTCTTATGAGTTTCAGGGGAACTCAGCCTTAAAAGCACTGCCTCCACATGGACCAACAGGTTAGTCACATGCAAAAGAGGGCCATCGCCTAACAATAGGCTTGATTGGCTCTATTGTTCATACAGGGTCATGTGCCCCATCACCTGACTTATTGGTTTGGATGTTGAGCTCCGCCTGCACTCACTACACACACATAACATGACACCTAAGAACCACAGCATCCAAACCAATCAGTCAGGTGATGGGGCACATGACCCTGTATGAACAMTAGAGCTAATCAAGCCTATTGTTAGGCGATGGCCCTCTTTTGCATGTGATTAACCTGTTGGTCCATGTGGAGGCAGTGCTTTTAAGGYTGAGTTCACCTGAAACTCATCAGACTGAAGAAGTCTCTTGGAGGAGAGATGAAACGTTTCACTAAAGAAGAACCCATCCAGAGGACCTACTTATTTTTTCTTTTTGATTTTTTTCTACCTGGATTACTGAGATGCATCAGGAYGCCATAAACAAATGTTTTTCTGCACTTAAAGTTGTTTTGAGGGTTTACCACTATAAATGAGCTGCCGACACATTTAGATTTAGTTTATGAAACTTTCATTTGATGCAACTTAACACACAAAAGTTGCTAAGGCTATTACTGGGACAGCAATTTGTCCAAAACAAAGTRCATTGTCTTGTGTATTCTACATCAGATTACCTTGTATTTTATTGTTAAACATCCTTGAAGAACCCAATCCCACTTTGAACAGTGTGTGTTTCCTGCTTGATATCAGACAGGCTGTGTGGATGTAAGATGAAACATTGGATCCARTGTCGTTGGCCCACTTACCGCCGGCCTGGCCTCCTCCAGGGAGTAGATCTCAGGGCTGCAGGGCTCGTCGTAYAGAGGCGACAGGGGTTGTCTTGGGGCACACATGTCTGAGTGACGCTGCGGTGCATTCAGAGGGAAGTTCAGGGACGTCTGTGGAGTGCTCCAGCTGTTTGACTGATCACAAATTCAAACAGACGTTAGTAAGGAAACAAAAATTGGTTGCTAGATTTACCTTTTTTTCCCTTTGGCCTTTTAAAAGAAAGAACTCAAAACCACAATCAAGGCAAAACATTGATCATATCGTCATCGTATGGCCAATGTGGATGGATATTGTATGCCCATTTAACACAACGATTTAAAGATTGTGTTAGGTTGGCATATTGCATCATATCGATTGCAGACTTGTGAATTTAACTGAATTAAAATCGTATCATGACAGACTTTGATGTTGAGAAACATTGCATCATCATCCAAACAAATCCATGTAATTTTGTATTGCGATAAAGCTGCTGATTTGCACCCCTAGTTTTCCACTACCACTCACTATTATCTGAAGCAGGGGAGCAGCAGAAATCCCTTCTTAGCAAAGCAGCTCGACTTTGTTTATGAATCACAACAGACACATAATTCTACACTCCATTAAGTAGATTGATCTTTCAACTTCAGTTTGCACCAATGACATCTTCCTTCATCTGTAAACATCATAAAGAAGACGAGCCCTCTCGGCCTGCTGTTTGGCGTTTCTATTTCCATCGCTGTGCACGTGGCATGTGAAGTCTCAAAGGGAATATCTGGTTATCAAGTTAGGAGCCAAAGTGAATTACCTTGACRAGCGGGGCTTTCTCCGGCCGCTGTGGACTGGCACGGTGCAGGGCTGAGTAGGGGGTGCTGTAGAGCTGGGAGCTGTCTGCAGACTGCAGGTGGGAGCTGTGCTGAGGTGAGGCGTAGCGCAGGGGCAAAGGTCTGAGGTCGCTGTCGGGCCTGGTGTGTGAGGACACACTGTTGGTCCTGCTGCCCAGCCGGGCTGTCTCGATCGAAGACGGACGACTGGAACTGAACTGTAAAAAACMCAGTCACATTCAGTGAAATAAGAACCTGTGCTTTCACAGCTTTAAACACTGATGATTAGAAAAACCAACATTAGAAACTGAAATATTAATCCTTAAAGTTAGATTTCTGTTTTCAGCAAACAAATGGAAAAAATGGCCTTGATCAGATTTATTGGGAGAGTGGTGGTTAAGGTCAGGAGTTTACCAGGGACATTTCTTCTGGGCGCTCTGCCCTCTTTTTAAGCTAATTGGACGGRCGGGCAGCCGAGGCAGCTCCTCTCCTGGGGGAGTTCAGTAAGAAGTCCTGATAATGCAAACTGCTTCTCTACTTCATTAGATATCAGAAGTTCACACACAAAATGTAGTTTCTGCTGATTCAGAATTTAGAGGATGGTCATGATACTTCACCAGTTTGTTGTTGTTTTTGTTTTATTTATATTCTCATCACCTGAGCACATGTAATGGGAGTACTTTGTTCTTCAGACTTGCTTAATAATTAACTTTGTGAAAGAGCAGGTGTCACTTGTTTCTATTTAAACAGTCCCCATACAGAAGACAAAAGATATTTAACTCCTCTTATGCTCATTTTTATGGAAACGGTGTGTTTTGTTAAGATTTACTGAATAAAACCGAGCTGACTTACACAGAGAGGTTCAGAGTATCCTGGAGACTTGAGCTTTTCTTCCCGAATGGGTAACTGAAGGCTTTGGGAGCCAGTTTCTCCTGGTGCCTGGCTGTATWTGAGAGACTCTGATCGTCCTTGACTGTTTCCACTCCACCTGTCAAACTTTGTTGGTGCCTGGAGAGCAAAAGACGCAATATATTATTTTATTTTGAAATAAACAAAAGTMATCAAATTTAGGCAAAACATTAGGCCATTGAGACAAAACTGAACGTGGCCCAGAAAATTGCTTTTACGTATAGCAAAATCCTCTAGGCAACAGAGTTCATTTACATGTAAATGACACGACTGTTATAGAAACAAACCTAATATATAAGCTATTTACTTGCAACAATTTCAAGAGACAGAGCACTTTCTTCCTGCTTCAACATGTGTAATGTGAAACGGCTTGACTCTACTTGATCCGTTGATGTTGTGCCTGTGAGTCACAGATCTGATTGGTTGAGTGTGTGTGACATGCTGGGCTGCTTTTAAGCATTCCTCCTTACCAACAGTAAAACAATATCTTCAAACCATGCTATTATTATAATAAAATACATAAATAAAGYGGGACAAGCAGTGAAAAGGGTTTGTAAACAAAATGCTTAACCCCACAYGGAGAGCTCTTTTCAACAGCCTCGAACACAACGACAAAAAAGAAAAGCAAGAGGCCCTCACCTCTGTGCTTGTCGGGGTGTAGATGATGTCATAAACTGGGGGCGGGGGGCTGACGACGGGCACATCGGCAGCTTTGAAATGCTGGATCCAGTCACAGAACTCGGGCCGATCCTGACAGGACACCACGATGGGGTTGATCATTTTGCCTGGGAGGAGAGGGAAGTAGAGACAAAGCCTGTCATTTGGTCTGCTTGCTGGATGGAATGTGCTACAGTAAGATTGTTATTCATCAGAGGATAAAGCCCCCTCCCTATTCACGGAGGGGGTTACACTCTGTGACGCCAGCAGATTCAAAGCAGAAGGCCACTTAGCATAAAGCACACATGGGGAATGTGCATTTATTATCACGCCTTTCTTGAAAACGTACCACTGATTCACTGTACTAACCTTCAATCTTAAAGGTGTTGGGTTTGACGTCTTGACAGGGAGTGGTCACTGTAATCATGTTGAGTGGAAGCTTGCCCTGTAATCASAATGACTCTTTTAATACAGCTCCTTTATGCAAACACACACTGTGCAGAAGAAGAACATATTTCAATATGAACAGTAAAAGAAGCTCAGTACCTTATAAAAGAGACCATTGGGCTCCTCTGATAGGATGATCAAGGTTGATGGATACATCACCAACAATCTGTCACTCTGTTGCTGTGAAAAAGGGATTTTATAGTGAGCACAGTAAAACATGTGCAGTCACTGAGCTATTTAAAAAAATATATATTGCATTTTCTTATTTTTCTGCTGCAGGAAGTTCTAATGGTTATGTAATTACATTTTATTAATGTAGAAAATCATTACCAGTGTTCTCTGTTTTGTGGCGGTTTTAATGTTGCGAAAACAACACACCACAAAACAAAACAAAAAAAAGGGCAAATGCTGATAACTTCTGGAAAGATAGCACCTTGAGCCGAGGCACAAAGGCCACCATTAGACCCTGAGCAGATGTTAAAAACACACAGACTTTATCTTTTAATACTGTGCTGAGAGGCAAACCGAAAACCACAATGGAAGCTAAGGTCGAACCAGTTCGTGGGAGATTTAAAGGTGCGGCAAATCGAGAGTTTATGTTTTCTCACTCTTACAGGGTGTGTCGAGAACAGACAGCTGACATTCCAGCTGCGAGGTGAGTCGCCGTGCGAGCTGAGCCGATGCCTCTCACACACCCAGGGCTCTAAATCACATCAATACAGCTGCCGCTCGCTTCCCAGAGAGCATTAACAGACATCCGTGCAAAGACATGTCAAGACTACTGTTTTGATTACCTTCGACGTGAGGCTGCTTTGGCAATATGCGTTGCACTTTTATTTGATTTGTTGTGATGGAGTCGGATATTTTTAATCAGGTGGATGTGAGTCTTTGACTCTGTGATGCAATGTAACAGGAAAACATAGGCTGTATAGATAAACAACCGGAAGCCAGTAATCGAAACACTCTCCACCCYTTTTCACTCCTTGCATTGTGTTGAGGTAATGTGCCTGTTGCACAATCTGAAAAACCATGAGTCACCTGGATTTAGCACTGATGTTATCCTACTTTTATTCATCAAGTGAAAAATTCCCACASCTTTTAAAAACCACGTTTGCACGATGAGTTGGAGTCTGCTGCACTGAGCATTTCCATGAATAAGCAAGTGAAGCGTGTCAGAGGTTTAATCATACCGAGCAGGGCAGGTGCTGCAGTCGGACTTTGGTGACGTAGGTGATGGGGCCCAAACTGTCCCGCTGAGAGCCCTCCCACTCGAAGATTGGCTCTCTGCTGATGGAGTTTCTCAGGTCTTCTCGTCCTTCTGGAGCCTTGTCTTGGTTTAGCTACAAAAAAAAACAAAAAAAAGCAAGCGTGTGTTGAATAAATTGAAGTAGAACTCGAGTGCTGAGAAGATTTAAAAACGCATGTTCTGTCTCTTCTCCTCTGTCATGCTTGTTTTTTTTCACGTTTCTAAATAAACTTTCTAAATAAATTCAATTTAATTTTTTTCACGTTTTCTAAATTAATAATTTTCTTCTTATGTGACACAACCAGGCTTGTGGGTTTCATCAGCTGACTTCACCACCTGTTAATGTAAAATAAGCTCTTAGATATGAGGGTTGGTATAAAGCAGATCTCGATGCCGGTCAGACCTCTYCCTGTATAGGATCCAAGGCTTCAAGGAAAGCAGGCAGTGATCTTTCATGACTCACTGTATTTACACAGTCTCACATCCTGTTTCAATGAGCCTGGTGGAAATTTGGCCAATATATCAGGCGGATTAAAAGCACACAGTCAAGTATGTATTATAGTTTGGAAATAGGTATTTTGASCTGTCAGTGTGTGGCAAACACCAGCTTTAACAGTTATGTAGCAAGGGAGTTCACAGTAACTCTGTTATTTACACAAATACTTTTGCTACTTTGACATATCAGAGTGTTTCAGACTAAGTGCTGCTCCAATTACCCTCACTCTGGTGTAGTTTTCAGGTGCAATAGCAGTGCCTCCGTTAGCCTCGATGTTTTCCTTGAGAAGACTAAACCAGAGGTCCATGTCGTCTTGGTTGGCGCAGTAGACGACRATGGAGTTCAGGCTGACACCTGCAGGGTTCAAAGGTCACAAAGCCAAAAGGAGAAAGTGTCAGCCTTTTTTTTTTAATATTGTTCTGTCATGTTAGCAGAAGATAAAGACAGTTCACTCTCCGTCTTGTTCTTAGTTTACAGCAGGGTTATGCAACCAGAGCAGTAAATAATAACACATGTTCGGGACAGTAAACCAGATTTAAGAGCTTCTGCTGAAAAAGCCCCCCATGACCTGCGGTGTTTGGCATTTAAAAGGCAGAACAAACTCTCCCTCCCACAGACTGCTCAGCCAGAGGGACTGATCAGAGCTCCAGCTATCAGTCCCACACATGCCAAAGACTATTTCACTCCAACTCATGGCCGTGTTCTCTATAATGGTCAGGAATCAAACGCTGGATGTTGACTTCTCCTGTTTAAAACCTAATTAAGGACTTTGACCACAACTGTTCCCATAACAGTTAAATTCTTTCACTCTCTTTAAGTGGTTTTATCCCCAATTCCAGTAAGCCAGCCAGCGTGAAAACTCTTAAACTTTTAGTTAGGTCACAGAAGCCACAAGGCTACTGTTAAAAGTAATTCTCTATTAAAAACTAACTTTCACAGCCACGTTCGCCCCAAACCATGCGTGAGTTGTTGGGAATGCTTAAACATTCCTCCCTGAACTGGGTTTGCTTCGTCACTTTCCAGCTCCCCAACACTCATCTCACGGAGGAAATCTCCTCAACATAACTTCCTTTTGACTCAGAAATGTATCCCACTTCCTGTGAGCGTTTCAGTCAGTGATGTCTCCCAAAAGACAAATAAGTGTTCACACGTGAATAAGAAAAGGAGGAAATCTGATACTAAATACTGACGAGGTGGGCAAAAACAAATTTCACGATAAGTAAACTTCAAATAATCTTAATATTTTGACAACAGACTTTAGAAGCAATATAAACGCAAAAATCTTACATTGAAAGGCCCAGGATTAACTTTGTTTTTCTCACTCAGCTATTTTGGATCAATTTACAATTTTATCTTGAAAGAAAATCTTAGCGTTTGTTGACTTGAGCTTAAARGCTAATCCGACATTTTTAGCAGACGTTAACCTGAGCGGTTACCGGAATGCTTCATAGATTATATGCTGTGACAAGACTAAGAGCGATGGCCAGGATTTTCTGCGTGACAGCTGGGCTGACTGAAACGCACCTGTCGTCTAACAAGCGAGGCTTTTAAAAGCTGGTTAACCCCCCCACCCCACACACACACACACACACCCTGACCAACGAGGGGTGAAGGGGGGGGGGCCCCAATTTAGTCAGTCTTGGATTTGACAGGAGGTGAAGAGGTGAAACGGGTCACAGCACCGAATCACCGAAACAGGATGAGACAGGAAACACTCAAGCCTGAAAATAGTGTGAGCTTTCTTGCTTGTTGTCTTTTAAGCAAAATGAACTTTGACTTTTAATTCATTGCAAATGAGGAACATAGCAGACCACAAGCAGAGGAAACAAAAGGAGAGAATATTATAATGAGGGRTAAAAGAATCCAGCCCTAATTTATAAAATGGATATATATTTGAATGATTCATTAGATACAATCTGTAGAAGTAATAAAAACACAAACGATAATTATAAAATACCAACGCTCTGTGCCAAACACCCACTCAAATTCTTTTTTTTTCTTAGTGAAGATAAAGGTACCGTTTATTTGGAAGGCATATTCCTGCGGCTGGCTGTGGTTACAGTTCTGCTGCAGGTTGCAGATGGTGAGTTCCTTCAATGGAAGTGTCCCCTGCAGACAAACCAACCAAAACTTTATCAATATTTTCTTAATCATCATCTGCTTATAATGACTGCTCAAATCCAGATTTATAATTGAAAAATTAAAAAGTAATAGTAAAAAAAAACATTCACCATTGCACTGAGATCAGACTCATGAGACAATGATGTATTCCCGTCTGTCTTTCTTTCGAGGACACGTGCAGTCTGACTAATACATACAGGTGCTTAGCTGTCTCTTTTTCAACATTAAGTCAAGTTTTCACGAACAGTAAATCGATGATTAACGACCGCTTAAAAATTTTACGAGACAGGTGGAGAAACTTGATCATACTTTCTGTTTACCAACRCAGCACCGGTAGGCAGGAAGCAAGTCAAAAGCTGAGGATTACATCATTCAAAACCTATAAACCTTTTTTATTTTATGTTGAGGCAGAGAAGGAGGAAGCACTAACCTGGTATGTTAGTCCAGTCGTGTTGTTAGAAACAAAGTGAAGATGTGTTTCGAAGAGATCCAGGAAGCAATCGTGAATATCCTGCGGAGAAAAAGACAAAGTTGATGGAACTTGCCTGTGTTTCACTGTCCTTCTAGATTGTTTGTTCCCACATGACAATGCTCAGGGTTGGCCATTACTAATTCAWTTTGTTCATTTAATCTATATTTCAGCATCGTGTTCAGTTCGTCCGGTGATTCATTGAAATGTTCGAATAGGAGACTGAAGACTTTCTTTGTGGTCGTGTTTTCTGTGAAATACATTGTGTTCTTTTGCCATTTGTGACGTCATTTCATCAATCTTTTCTCACCGCTTTTCTGACAGTGGTGTGTCACAGCTCCGAAAAAAATAAAAAAATAAAAATTACAGTTCCCACCGCAAAGAGGTTGCCCTCTATCAGTCCATGGGATCAGAGCGACTCTCTACCCCGAAGTTTTCTGTTAGGGATGTTTCACAACTGCRGCAGAGGGAAAGCATGTCCAAACACAGGCTGCAGAACTCTTAGTGGGGAACTGCTTGGATTATTCACAGCAAGCCACTATGTCAAAACCAAAGYGTGTTTTTAAAAAAAAGCTGCACAACAACATCCTGTTACTTTTCATCTTTTATTTTTTTATTTTTTTCATGGATGACTGGGATGATGTGTCACTCGAAGCTTAACGTGTTTAAAACCGCAATAACGACCCTAAAGCTTTTTGTTTGTGTTMTTTTCTTTTACAGCTGCTTTCCTAACGTTTCATCATGCAGTCATTTTCAGGCTGKCTGTTGCTCCACTCACCTGGCACTGGGAGAAGCGGAAGCAAACTTTGGARCTGTGAATCATCCGTCCGAAATTCTTCACGTTAATGCTGCTTTTCTTCCAGCCGCTGGCCGGGTCGTAATGGAACGGAGGGTCCCATTTTATGTTCTCTATGGTCCGCAGGTCTTTGGGGGACATTTCCTGCAAGCGGCCACAACGTTAGTGGAACGCACAAACAGTAAAATAGCTGCGAGTTCAAAGAGGAGTTCGGAGATGCAGAGAGGAGATCATGCAGTTACCTTGAAGGGGGTGACTGTGCTCAGGATGTTTATGATGCTGTTGGACTTCTCTTGCCCCTCTTGGGGATTCTTCCTGCGAAACAGGCGACTGCTGCTCAGGAGAGAAACATTTAACGTGTTACYACTCTCTCTCAGCACAAGTTTTAACTCCTGACTTCCTGTTCTCTCTGCTGATTGACAACAGATGTGTAAATAAATTGTTTCCCATCAAGTGAAAGATCCCTAATGACATTTTCTCCCTTGTCTTACAAATCAATCAAAGTCCTTTCCTTTGTCCCTACCAGCAGTGGCAGACATGGATTAGAGAACAGTCAGGTTTTGTGCCTCTGATAGCGAGGACATATAGGRAAATCAGCATTCAATGTGTCCCTTTGTTTTGCATGTCCCTCATCTGTTAGCACTGCTGTCACATTTTTATGAGGAAGCACCCCTCGCTTCGCAGATAAAGGCGAGGGGTGCTGCTTCCACAATCACAGCCTGCAGTTTTATCTGCTTATCTGAGCACACGTGGACCAGTGTCCTCACAGCGCAACAACGCAGGCTTTTGTTGCACGGTGGGAATCAAGGTCTGCCTATTCAGGAAGTCCACGACATTTATCATTCATGGGTGTCAAGTGAATGATACTGTTGCCTTTAAACCCCACCATTAAAAAAAATGCATTCATACACAAAGAAAGGTATGAAAACCACACACTGGCATGCATTGTGCAGTTGCATGGGGATAGAGGAATGTGTCGTAGATAATAGGCAGGTAGTCGTTTTGCACACCCAACATTCTTCAGGTCAAAGCTGTGGCATTCAGCATCACTGACTCCTATTCTCTTTGGGGAATACCTGAGCCTCACCTGATTCAGCGACACAAAGAGTTRGAAGGCCACAGGAAAGAAGACTGAATGCTCAGCTTCAGCTGAAACACTAAAGCCCAGTCGGAAGCTGAAGTTTGAGCTATAAAAGTTTTATTTAAACTCAGGGCTTTTTAAACTTTTCCTGCCTATTTTTTTATTTAAATACAAAAAAAGTCACACATATGTAACACATATTTGTGGATAATAATCATACAGGACAGGACAAGGTACTGGAGTCTCACAGGGCTAATCAGAATCAGATGTGATGGTCCAGCAGGGGTATAGCATGCCCAGGCATATACCCCTGAGGGGTTTTAATGAAATTATATAGACAACAAAATTAATCTGCTTATGTTTGTACAGTAATTTCCTGTTTTTGAGTGTAAATCCTTCAGGTCTAATCTCAACAGATTACAGTGGAAAAACAAAGTATGTCATTAAGCAACATATCTGAACTGTATTTGTGATAATGAGTGCCAAATCTTGACTTTTTGCAGGATTAATGGCAGCTGAAGGAGATGTAAAGAGGAGACAAATGGTAACAGGATCATTGACAGTTGGCCAGACAGGCACCGGGTCATGGACGACCATATGATCCTAAACCGAGCCTGACAAAATTCACAACCCTCAGCTCAAATCCTGAGAAATACCAAGAATCCCTTCCATCTGAAATACTGTCTAAAATAACAAAGTACAGTCAAGGACATGACATGTGCTCAGAGTACACACTGACACGAGCTGAAAACTTTGAATCAGATCAAATCTTACCTGTTTCTGCGGATGAAACTCTTGGACAATGTGAAGTTGTGCTGGGGGACACATGAAATGCTGCTCCCCATGTTGCTCTGCTCTTCAGTGGGGGGCTTTTGTAGACAAACTGTACTCCGTCTATGATGGGTGAGTGCAATCCAAGAGAGCTGTGTGCTCCCTGCAGAAATCAGACTTGTTCTGAGAGAACTGGGCAGGGTGAGAGTGAGTGGAGGAAAAAAAAAAAAAGTCAGTATGAGTTTGTCTGCGTAAAAAGGGGTGGAGTTCAGGGTTGTGTCACAGACTGTGTGGTGAATAAGCAGTGGGATTCACACTGACTGTGGGCTACTTCTGTCTGCTGAATCAATCCACACAACAAAGGGCAGGGGGCTCGGGAGAAGTGGGCCATTTCACACCTTTCAGGGGCCAAATGGAGCTCAATCAGCTGAAATAAGTGGTTCACTGGATGGTGTGTGTCAATCACTGGGAGGGCAGGGGACTTAACCACTGGCATGTCCAGACATAAAAACACATCCACACTTCTATTTATTACCAACCTTCATCGCATGAGACTCATTTTGAAATTTAGTATCTGGGGAGTTCACATCAAGCCTGCCTATTGTTTTGGTTATAGAGATTTACTTAAAGCAACATGTAATCTCACCTTGAGGTATATATATA